CGTCGTGGTGTCCACGGATAGAGCGTGGTCTAAGGCAGAGAAATTATGGCCTGGGAATATAACCTGTTGCAATTACCGGTGCTGAGTGTGGAAAGTTGCAAAGTGAATATATCTAGGTCCTTAGGTCACAAACTCCTGTCGCCAACTTAAGTCTGCTGGATTACTACTGCATCTTCGTTAAGGATAGCTACATCGCGCAGTTCTAATTGTTTAGCCACTCATTAATAATTGTCTTGTTGCGTATTTATAACTATCGTGTTGCGTATTACTTGTAGTCTATTCGTTCATTTCTATTTTGGTTGCGTGCTACTTAACACCTAAAACGGACCTATAAAGCGAGGGATGTCACTGACTTGCAGACGGTGCTGAAGAACCTCAAGCACCAGAGACCAAAGGTTTATCTTTCTTGCTCGATTTCTCCACCGGTATCGCATCAGTTACTCATGGGTTAATACTGTCATCCTAATCGATGAAACTACAGAACACGGTTTCGTGATAGCACGCTGAGGTGCTTCTTCAACTTCAAGATTATCCTTCACAATTTTTAATGGTGGGAGTCTTCGCAAAACCCAAATGACAGTGGATGGAGCAGACATATGGTCAACAATTCTAACCTTCTGTTCAATTCCACCAAACAATCATTCTGGCAATCTGTTGGCTTGACCAGACAATTGAACAGACTGCTGGAATGAATGTCTGGTGGCAGCTATAGTCGGAAGTATGGTACAAATCTTTAATCAAGGATGTTGACATAAATGTTGTCTCAATTGAAGTCGTTAATACCATACGACTCCTTAAAGTTAAGTACGCCGCACACTTTTAGCGTAATATCATCGTCAATGGTAAGCTTTATTGTAAAAGCAGAGCCTCGGACAGCAGAAACATACCGATAGGTACTGGTAAAACAGTCATGAAGTGATGAATAATTGAACTTGCATGTTAAAAGGGCAGCAATCAAGCGATAACATCTTGAAGTATCAGCTTCAAGAGCAGCTTCAATATGGTCACTAACGATGAAGACGCTGATCGAACAAGAAATGCTAGGACCAAGCAGAGAATCCAGTAGCATAACGACAATAGTAGCAATAAGGTTGGTGAATCAAGTAATTTGAATTTACCACTTTGCACTTTCCCATAAGTTATCAGGGGTTATCGTCGTTAAGCTTGATAAAAAGGATGTTCACTCATATATCAAGATGGAGGCGTGTATTTCGATAGTCGGTTGTTCTCCAGTCTTAAGGTTCGCACAGTAACCGTTCTACAGAAACACGTCTTCCTTTGAGATAAGCACTAAACTCAACCCCTTTATGATTTCGCGACCTATCAACATCAAATCTTGGCTCTGCGCAAGTAATTTACATCTTAGGGCCCCAGAGTCGACAGCTTGAGGGCCGAATAACGAATCTGTTAAATTTTGACGCCATCTCTGGTGACCTCGCCGTTGATTACCTGCATATTTATTGTCGACGCGGCTTGTTGAAAACCAAGCTGTGCATTGGTCTATATATTCTTCTTGTTGATGATGCTGAGAGACGCACCGCTGTCGAGAATTGCATCGAAGTGCCTTATTCGCGTTTTAGCTGGACCTTGATGCGTAAATGAGCAAGCTTGGAGATGGACTATTTGTCTGGTACGAGTGTAAAAAGCCTATTCTTGGTGTCGCTATCACTCGAATAATCTTCTGATCGTGGATATTTCTCCCTCTGGGGTCGTGGCTTTGTCCCATCAGGCTTGTGTTCATCGCGGTATTTCGTATAAGACGAAGTATTTGCTGGAGTTGTATGAGTTTATGTAATGATGTGAACACCGCGTAACATTGTCTTGTTGTCGCTCATTTCTTGTCGTATCTTATTAGACACGCTTACGTGGTTGGCGCTCTTTACCCGAGTCGCATTGTTCACGCTGGTTGCGCCTGTCTCTGTGGTCGTCGAATGAGAGCTATTAGTCGCACCGACCGCGATCCCTTTCATTGTGACTTTCTTGACATTTTGATCGCTCACAGCCATTCTTCTCGTCGCGCCTCTTGAGGTGCATGATGTTAAGAGTAGGTAATACCATTGCACTTCTGCAAAGAGGATGAAAGTAGAAGTAAAATATAGTCAGTGTTAACTACTGCCCTGGTCAACACTACGTTATCCACTAACCATAACGGAACTGCAAATAGACCATGTCAAGTTGCAAATGGTCTCCGTCTGTACCTATCCCATGTGGCACCTGTCAAATGGCGTCCGTCTTTCTTCGTTCTATGTGTCAATATGCCTCATTATTAGCCAATACTGTGAGGTTGGACTTACCTGCAACACGTATTGCACTTGAACTGCAGGACCTATTGACCTATCAGAGAGAGTATATTCGACCACACTAGACTTACACAGTCAGCTTAGACATCGTTTCGTACAAAGTTACACCAAACGCGAGCTTGTCTTGCCAGTTCGACGGCTCTGCTCGGAGGAAGTCACGACATTGCTGGAGTTGCGAGAGGGTTTGTGCAGCCTGGGGCCGATCAGAGTACATACGAAAGTACATACAATTACACGTTTGAACCTATCACAAGTACAACGGAGACAAGCATCAAACGTCTACATGTACATGAGGGTATTAGACACCTTCCTACACTGTGTAAGTATAGGTAGCTTGCACTATGTTAGTACAAATGGAGGTTGCCCCGATTCACTATGTAAAAAGTTATCGAATCGGATACGTTGCGCAATCGTGTTGATTTAAACCCAAATAGTATGCTGATGTCCTCAAGCTGCGTGAAAACATCACCGATTTTAAATTTTAGCAGTCGTAGTGTCTCATGTAGTGTGTATTATTGTGTTGCAAGGAGTGGCTTAATGACTTGACCTGATCACATTTTTGTCCTAGTGTTGGACACGCCTACTATGCACTCAATTGGGTCAATTTCACATCGACTTTGTATTCCACTTTTATATTTTTATGCATATGATGGGGTACACGCAGTTGCATTGCAATTGTTACGGGTCACCTTGCTTTTACAGTAACAAAATAATCGTACCTACACCGATAATGATGTAGGTAGCTGCCACAATATAACAGGTGATCCCGTTACATAAAAATTGATAGAAAGTTTTAATTTTTGAGTATTATCAACTTTGATGATATTCAATCAACATTACTCGAGAAGAGGTGATGTTGTCGAACTATGACCCCCGAGGGTAATATTCGTGGATGCTCCACTTCTTGGTTGATGTAACATCTGCATCAACCAGAGCAACCACCAGTCGCTGCTGGACGCGTGCAACGGGTGGTGAGAAAGAGACCCACATATGAAATTGTAGTTTAACATAGATTAAGACGAAAGATGGTTTAGTAAGAGGCTTAACTATAATTATTAACAGTTCTACTTTTCCCCTTAGACACAGCTTTCGAGTTCTCCCAACTTCGCTGCGCTTCCTCGCCACGTGTACGTGACGTCGAGTGCACACAACCTTGTGTCGAATTGACATAAGGCGTTCCCCGTTACACAACACTATACGTTCATGTACGACCAAAGGAAGCAAAATGACTTGCGAGGACAAATATGTCAACGTCAAAAAGAAACCCGTCGTTTATATAATCGAGCTTATCCACAAACAGATCGCATTCTTTCATAAATTAGTTTCTGATACAGCACAAACCGATTTTACTTGCTGGACACCCATTGCGCCTGCACATGATTAATTGAAGGCTTAATTGGTTGATACAATGGCCTTGTAAAGCCATTGCGCAGAAGTCTTACAATTATAATATAAAACGTAATATGTACAATAAAGGACATGACAAGATATGAAGGAGGCATTGCTATTTGCGAATTTCGAAATATGTAACGGGCTCACCTTTTGCAATGTTTAGTAAACAGCTTTCAACTGAAATATTCGCGTAGATAGGCTGTAAAATATAGTGGTACCAATTGTGTGGTCAGAAATGTTCTGCAAAAAGTCACGATTCCTAAACTAATGTGTACACATTAGATTAACAACAGCCCTATCGCTTTCTTCTATTTCAGGCACAATTAATTTGTGGTGACTTGTCATTTATAGCTTCCGTGACTTTTCGTCCCCGCACCTGAACTTCGTTTTCCTCGGTGTTACGACGTCGAATCGTAAAGACGCGTTGGTTACACGTAACCAGCAGCTGCGGTCCTTCGAATGTCGACATCGACCAAAATCATAAAGTAGAGCTCCATGCAGTCTCTATATTCGCGACGGCAAAACTCGCGTGACACATGTCCGGCAGTCGACGAACCACACGGCTGGAATCCAGACCAAGAGTCGACCCATCCTCGTGCTTGTCCAACAGAGCAGTTCATGGTGTGTGCCAAGCCCACCAACTGTTCATCATCTGGACCGTTCTGCCAACTGAGCTCCCTACGCCGGAACATTCATACAGACATAGATACATACATACATACATACATACATACATCAGACCCGACGACGTGGACGCCATGAGCGTCGTAGCCCCTCGACCCCCACGACGCTTCTTGAAGCCCACCACACAACAAAACCCATCGCAGCAATGCGTCCTGCACCGAAGCTCAGATCCGCAACCACATCGCATTTGCTCCTTCGGTCCGCCGCCACGCCCCCAAACAACATGTACCCACCACACCACCAGAAGCGCTTGACGCGCCTCCGTGCCGATGCTCGCACCCAATCCCGACGGGAGCTGTCCACCGCCGGCCTCACTGGCCGCCGCTTGCACGTTGTATCCCCACGAACTGGCCCGAGCCCCACAAAAAAGAGCCCACGTGTTGTCTCAGCGCGCCCGTCTGTCATAAACGGGGCAGCTCTCTCGCCGCGCACTTAGAGCGCACGTGCGCACGTGGCCCAGCGCGGCCGAACGTCACGTTGCGACACGGGCCACGAGACGGCCTCTGGACAGACGCAGCGCCGGGGCACTCGACCGCGCGCGGCGGCCGTCTCGCCACACCGCATTGACGTTCCACTCGAGCGCGTCCGTGAGCCATAATCGCTCGCTCGCTCGCTGCCGACTGTATGGAGTCGGAGCCACTGCCGCAGCGCAAGCACGTGGCCCCTCCGTCGTCCGTCTTCCCCGTGGACGACCGTCTGCTGCCCCGACTGAGCCTCTCGCCCGCGCAGCACGAGGAGCTGCGCGAGTATGCGCTCCAAGCGGCGCGGGACACGATCCGCGACGGACCGACGTGGGGCCGCTCGAACATTGAGAGCGCTGTGGCCAGTGGCTGGAAAGTGCTGAAGGCGCGGCCGACGGCGTGTTTCATGACCAAGAAACAGAGCAAGAAGAAGCACAAGCACAAGGAGAAGGAGAAGAAGAAGCAGCAGCAGCAGAGCCGCGAGCGAGCGGCCGCGCGGGATGACGTGGCGCGTCGACCGCAGCGCGACGACAAACGAGCGGTACCGCCGACGCCGCGCGTGGCAAGTCTCGGGACGTTCCAAGGCATGGACATTGTCCAAAGTGCGTCGCCGCTGCACCTGTCACCGGCGATGCCCGTGGAAGCGGCGAGGGGACAGCACTTTATGGCGCACGCGGTGCTCCCTTACTCGCTAGAAGATGTCATGAACACACTGTACTGCGAACACACGAGCGAAATGCGTGCGCTGAAGCAAAAGGCCTACGGTGAAGCCGCGCTGGATTGCTGTGTCTTGCAGACGCTCGAGAGCGCGACGCTCGAGGACCCGTTCTGGTACCTTGGGCTCAAGTGGCTGGCACTGCGCTCTCCGATGCAAGCGCTGATGGCGAGCCGCGAGTTTGTCTACCTCGAGCATCTCGGCACACATGTGGATCCCGAGACAGGACGGCGCATGCTGTATCGAGTCGTCCAGTCGATCCACATTCGAGGATACGGTGGCGAGGACTCGTACTTTGGTCTCACGCGTGGGAACGTCGAAGGGGCTCTCGTCTACTGGATGGACCACGAAAACGAAGTGAGGAACCCGCTGCTGCACGTGTGTGCCAAGGGTCGAATCCACATGAAGGGCAGTATGCCGGATACACTCGTGTACAGGTATCTCAAGTCGATCTGGCGCTCCGAGCGCTCGCTTTTCCCTGCCAACAGGTTGGCCGAGTCTTCGCTCGGCATGAGCGTCATGGATGACAGCACTGACCGACCACCTGTAAAGAAGTCGAAGAAGAAAAAGTCACGACGACGTCGAATTCCAAGCGGTTTGCCACTCGAGATGGCCCAAGAGTGGGTGGCGGACGAGCTCCGTTCAAGCTGTTCCGTGTGCAACAAGAAGTTCCGTCTCGTGAGACGCTTTCGGCATCATTGCCGCGCCTGTGGCGACATCATGTGTCATGACTGCACGTTCCATCACCGAGTGAATGTGCGCGCAGTTCAGAGCTTTCGCGGCTTGAAAGGAAGTGTCATTCCCGCAGTAGTATCCGCAGACCGAACTCGAGACGCAGCAGCCGCAAAGCACAAAGACTTACTGCCAACTGACTTTGAAGAGACCATGACGTGTAGCTTTGACAATCAGGTGATGGGGGACGAAGCGAAAGGCGGCGCGTTTGATGCGAGTATGAGTCTCGTGGATGCCAGGAAAGCGGTGAACGGTCCCGTGGAGACGGCTGTGCTTGGTGGCGATTCCGTGGTATGCATAGTGATGGCGAAGGTGTGTCTATGGTGTCTACAGAAGGCTCCGCTCGCCAACAATGCCAAGAGCAGATCCACTTTGCGACGACGACATAGCGAGATGGCGAGCAACCGAGGAATCCCTGTACCGAACACTAGCGGCACCAGAGAGTTTGGAAGGGATGAGGGGCTGCCCCTGCGTCCGCAGTCCTGGACGCCCGACTGCATGAAAGTCGAGGAGCTGGACGGAGTCAACGGCGACAATGGGCAAACGTACGGCCGTGAGCAGGACCTTCCGATGTTGGTGTTGGACGATACAGACGCAGAGAGCGAAGATGGTCTCGCGGAGCTAAGGCGGCTTGCAGGTTCGTGCGTGAACGACACGAGGCCCGGGATGCCTATGCACGTGGACCTTGGTGCGTACGCCCAGGAGTGGAATGGTCAAGAGAATGGCGCAGCGGACCAACATGCGGACGATGGCTGTGTAGTCAATCTCCCGTCTGGTTTACTATCGACTTCCTGTTCGAGTACGACGTCTTCTAAGATGTACGAGTTCATGGCAAGAGACGACTCGTACGGTTGTTGCTCGGAGCGCTATTCCAGCCAAGGCAGCGTCGACACGTTTGATGACAATAGCTCGATCCAGTTTTACCCAACGCAGAGTGCCAAGGCATCGGACAATGAGGAGTTGAAGCCAGTAGCAGCAAGTGGCAGCTCAGGGTCCAGCCCAAGCAGTTCCCTTGAGCTAAACGAGAACGGAAGAGAACCGAATGCAGCTATTGCTAAACCTGCGGTCAGCGCGGCTGAGAAAGAAGGGACAAGCCGACAGCGTGACGTACACGAAGAGGTCCTGCAGCCGAACCGACAAAGGCCATCGCCATCTGTGTCAATGACCTCAGTTTGTAGCGAAGAGAATGCAGACGAGAGCGATGGCATCGGTGGACGAATGCACGACTTGTACCAGGCAGTTGCAATGGCGAAGAGCTCGATTGCAAGTCAAGCTCGAGTTCTGGACACGATCAAACAAGAACGAACGAACGAGGCGCCTGCATTCTGCTGCGTGGCCGGAGCCATGTCGAAGGCGTAGCAGCTCAGCAGTAACAATGGAGACTCGTGAGTCAATAGACGGTAAATATTTTGAGCCGAACGGAGTTTGCAGTCCATCATCACCACTACGCGCGTATGCTAAACAAATTTGTCATGTTACAACAGACATTCATGAGTCTTCACATTCGTAGGTAATTCTTGGCATTTCTACTTGCCACCAACGCCATGCTACGCACGTTGCATTGGCTCCTCGTGGCTCTAATCTAGGAAGAGCCCAACGAGAGTGAAGTGATGTACACGCCGCATCTCGGTGTAGGCGCAGTCTGTGTCGACCCAGGGTAAAGCAAAGATGATCGAGCTTCAGACGAAATCTCCCCCACTGTCGTCGCGGCTGTCTTCCCGACAGTGTCGTTCTCCGGTGAGCGCGTCATCTTACTCCGCTGCTCTGCAATGCACCGGATCAGCGCTTCTTGCTGTGCTATGGATCGCTCGACCTGTTCCAGCTGGTCCGGGATCGACAACGAGCGAAGTTTGTAGCTGCTCTCCGACTGGCGAGCTGCAGTAGACGGTCGACGAGGGACCGATGGAGGAATCGCATCGCTTTGGTTGGCAGAGCTCACCACCCGGCCACGCATGCTCAGCCTGACACTGTCGTCGTTCTCTTCGCGCTTTGGCGTCGGCAACAAGAGATGGTCGAAGTTGAACGTGCTGTCGCTGCCAGTGAACAAATGACTCGGCCTCGCGGGTGGCGACTCCTCGCCGTTGTTCAGGTCATCTTTGTCGTACAGGAGAATGCTACGCCGGAGGTTCTTCTTCTTCTCCCGCGCCATGTGTATCTGCCGCATACGCTCAATGCGAAGCGAGTATTCTTCGTCCGTCTCGTTGATATCGTCCTCGTCGTGACTACCTCTCCCAGCAAGCTCGTCATCCGCTGCATAGCGGCCGCCTGGGAAAAAGCCACGCATCGGTCCAGGTCGCAAACCTGCGTTATCGGCCAGAGATCCCTGCAACACCAGAGGAAACTGCTTCACCATCGTAGGCGCAGCGTAAAAGTTCGACGCTCCCTTCATCGTACCCTTCCGCTCCTGCCGAATAGTGAACATGCACTTCTTGCATAGCTTCACATTGTTTACGGCCGGGTATCCATTCGACCGGGTCTCCTCCAGGCTCTTCTTGGCGGGCTGTTGCAGCAACACGCTCAGAGAAGACGTGTCTGCCTGGTTTTCATGGCGCTGAGAGTGGCGAGGGTGCACCGCATCTCCAGCTGCATCCTCGTCGCCAACGTGCGGAGCTGAAACAGGCGGTGCAACGAGCGGCAGCGTGATCATGCAGCGAGAGCACATGACCTCACCGCACATGCGGCAGTGGTGCCGATGGCGCCGGACGATGCCAAAGCTCTTGAAGCACACGAAGCACACTTTGCGCTGGTGGTCTGGCACCCAGCTCGGCTGGGGACAGATGGACATGCGACTCGATTCGCGCATCAGTGCCATTCCCGTCGTGAGGAACCCGTACTGCGACGCCGACAGCGGCATCGTCGAGGGACCGTGGGCCGTCACTTCCGAGCCGCTCTGCGTGCTCTGACTCTTCACCGCACTCTGTGCCGACGGCGACCGGCTGAGCGCTGCCGGCGGGTGCGGGAAGATCATGCCATGCTTCATGATGTACTTAATGTCGGCGCAGTACTCGATCCGCGCGACCGTGGGCGCCAGTTGCGAGAGGAACGCACTCCCGAGCCACGAGCTCGCGCGGCCGCCTGGATCGAGCGACCCCTCGGCAAACACTTTGACCGCGTTCGTCGCTTGGTCAAACGTGTACATCACGACCATTGACAAGTGGCCGCGCACGAAGCGCAGCTTGGACGGGTCCACGCCGTCGCTCGGTCCGTCGTGGCCGACAATCTCCAGCAGCGGCGGCACGACGTCGTCGCCCACGGACTGCATGACCTTCACGAGCACTTTGTGCCCCTCGCAAGTCACAACGGTCTTGGCAAACTCGTAGTACGCGTGATCGCGCGGCGAGAAGAACCGCGCGGGGCCACTCGGCGAGGCGAACGCCCGCCACTTGACGCCACAGAAGCGGAACGCGTCGTCGTCCGTCTGCGTCTCGAGCACCTGCAGCACCGCCGCGTCGAGAAAGTAGTCGCGGAACAAATAGGCGCTCACGGACCGCTCGTCGAGCGTCGTGTCGCTGTATTTGCCGTACTCGACGTCCTGCAGCGTCAAATTTGGGATGCGGCCCGTGGCAAAAAACTGCTGCACCGTCGCGGCGGCCGTCGCGTCCCGGCGCTTGTACACGGCCAGACAGGGCTTCGCGCTGTGGAGCTTCCACTGCCGCGCGTCGTCCACGAGCGGCTGGCGGCCGCCGCCGTCCCACGCCGCGCGCGCCCGCGGCAGACACGCGGCAATGAGCGCCTCGGCCTGTGTCCGCATGGCCGTCTGCTGCGCGTCCGTGAGCGCCACGCGCGGGATCACTTCGTCCATGCGCGGCAACTTGGCCGCCTGGCGGTGCTTGAGCCGCGCGGGGAGTTTGAGCTTCCGCCGGCGCGTCGGCGGCGCGGCGGACGGCGCAGTGGACGCGAGCGCCGGGCGGAACACGCGCTGCTGGACGTGCGAGCGCGAGAGCGGCGCGTTCGACGGACTCGAGCGGTCGCTCTCGGCCAGTGCCGGTTCGGACGCGCGGTAGGGCCGTGCGTCTCGACTCGCGCGGTGCTGCATGATGGGCCGTCGCCCGTCGCGTGCCGTGTGCTGCCGAGCGGCGCGCGTGCGGGTCAACGGACAATGAGAGAGAGGGGGAGAGAGAGAGAGAGAGAGAGAGAGAGAGAGAGAGAGAGAGAGAGACGTGTGCGGTGCACGTAATGTTCTTGCGGACGGACCGCGCGGTTTGTGGCCCCGGCAGTCGATGGCGCGACTTTATTCCGAGTGGGAATTGCAAAGTGCGACGTCTTGTGCACGTGAGGGACAGCAGAGGGGGACGCGGAATCGAGCGAGAAAGGGGGAGAAAGGGGGGGCGGCGGCGGCGGCGGCAGCGCACGGATGGACAGACGGGCGGACGGTCGCGCGCACTGCTTTTTGACGTTGCGCGACGTGGGCGCACGACCAAACGGTGGAGTCGGCCCGTGCGGCGCTGGCTCGCTGGGACGAGTCGCCTCGTTTTCCACTATGCAGTGCAGTTGACTTGGCGTTTGTAGGGTGAAGATCGCCCGACGAGCGTCCGGTCGCCGACTGGGCGTTCGAACGGTCGAACGTTAGTTACGACGCGGCACACTGCGCGCGCGCGACAAGAAGTCGCGCGTATCGCAGCTGACAACGCGCCGGCGAGGGTTCGGTTCAGTTAAATCAGTAGTTTAACGCGCGCGCGCGACGGAACGTCTGTCGCGTGCGACTGGATCGCCCCATTGACTTGCGTTAGTCGTACTTTACCCGTGAGGTGCGTCTCCCTCTTCACCTGCTGTTTCGAGTCCCTCGCGTAGCGAATGACCTCGTTCGAGTGACTCGCGCGAATCGCTTCACAGCTTTATCGACAATGCTACCAAAGTCGACCGGACGACGAAGAAGAGGAAGCTTCGAGCACGACGGCGCCGTGCGCGAGACAGCAGCCGATGCGTCGCTGTGCAAGCTCTCTGCCAGTCAATTGGGCTACTACGTCGACCCGTTCGTGCAGTACTTCGTCCCCGTGCCGTCGCGCCGCATGCCGATCATCAACCGCGGCTACTACGCCCGCGTGGCGGCCGTGGAGTCACTCGTGCGCACGTTCTTACGCGCTGAAGAGCGCGGCAATCGACAGACGGTAGAGACGACAAATACGAAGAAGAAAACGACGAAGCAGGTTGTGATCTTAGGTGCGGGGCTCGACACGATGTTTTTTCGCTTACAGAGCAGCAACGCGCTAAGCGATTGCGAGTACTTTGAGCTCGACTTCCCGGACGTGACCATGCAGAAAGTGGGCGCAATTAAGCGCCGCAGAGCGCTTAATGAACTAATGGGGCTCGGCAATGCCGAGGCGTTCATGGCCGCCGTGTCGTCGGGTTTCACTGAGCTAAACGTGCCAGGCTATCACCTTTTGCCGTGTGATTTGAGAGACTTGGACGCGACGACGGCGAAACTGGAGGCTGCAGGCATTGATCGCACTGTGCCGACGCTGTTTGTTTCGGAGTGTGTGCTGATCTACATGGAGGCAAAGTTCTCGACGCAGTTGGTTGCATGGGCCGCGTCGTACTTCGATGATGTGAGCTTTGCACTGTACGAACAGATCTTGCCGGACGACGCGTTTGGGCGAGTGATGATGGCGAACATCAAGGCGCGCGGGTGCGACTTGTTGAGCATTCACGACTTCCCGACCGAGGAAGCGCAGGTTGCACGATTTACCGAGCACGGCTACGAGGTAGCGCAGTGCTGGGATATGAACAAGATCTACTACCACTACCTGGATCCAGCTGAACGTGCCAAGTACGTGGTATGTGCTGAGCAGTAGATGACGGCGTTGCTTACTTTTAGTGGTGCTTTTGTGCAACAGGCGCGAACGGCTGGAAATCTTTGATGAGCTGGAGGAGTTCCATCTGCTGCAGGCGCACTACTGTGTTGTTGTTGCAAGCAAGCAGGCCTCGTCGCCAGCAGCCCGTGCGATGGCGCTGAGCGAAGCGCACGCGTCATGCTGATTGCAACACATCGTGCAGGAATACCAGAGGCGGACGGCAAACGTCTTGCACGAACGAATTGGATTGTAATTGCTTTATTGCTGCTGCTGCTGCTGAATGGCTACCTGCTTACCTACCTACTTTTTTCATTCTCTTTTCGCGACCGGCGTGATACAAGCGCACGATTAAAGTGCCGATGTCTATTGCTGCACCAAAGTGTCGTTTGACTCAACCCGTTGACCTCCTTGGCATCACCACTATGATCACATCCTTATGACGCGACACCTTCTCTTCCGCCCCTTCCAATCCCACCGACTACTTCTCCTCTCCACCTTTGTACCGCCCGAGTATCTGGAATGCACCAAAGTGACTATCGCCATGCCCCAAACGCGTTGCCACTTCAGCACCAGATTTGCGCGAAACCTACTGACCAACAGCGCACTCGTCCACGATGCGCGCAAATTTGTGAATGTGGTTGATGAAGAACTCACCCGTCCGCTGGTTGCTTGCTTCTTCGTCGACAAGAACGACGTTGTTGTTCAGGAAAAAATGCACGTCTGTCTTCAGACGCGAGCCGCTGACCTTCAAGGCCATGAGTTCGGCGCGTGCAATCTCGACGTCAACCCCACGAAAAGCCGCCAGCTTTTCCAAGTCGATCGAGCGGTACAGTTTGATGTACGAGCGCACAGCTGGTACGTGCTGCTGGCGAGCCACCATATCGCTAAACGCCTTCTGCTGCCTCTGCGAAGCCTCGGCGCTGCGATGGACAACAGCTTCACCTTCTACTGCCACAGCGGGTAAGATGAACTTGGGGCAAGAGAAGCCGAACAGTTCGCTAAGCGCAGACACGTCGCCCTTCTGCAACTTGCTTTGCTTGTCGCCGTACTTTTCGCGGATCAGCGAGTGGATCTGCTCATTCACGCGCTGACCCGGACACAGAAACAGCACAATCGCGAGCAGCGCCATCGCTTTTTCCGTCAACTTGTGCAGCTGCTCATAGTCAGCAAACCGCGAGTAGTAGTTGCGGTTGCGGTTCACTTGCAAGATAATGGTCGAGAACGACCGGATCGCTGCAGCAAAGTCCTCGAGCATGAGCTGCGCAAAGCCCATGTGGTAAAACACCGACACGTGGCAGCCCGGCGACTTTTCGTGGATCTGGGCCGTCGTCTTGGCCTCGCCGCGCGCACTCTTGTCAAAGAGATCAATGGGCTCGAGCAGCTTGAGCGACGTGTAGTAGTCGCCAAACAGCACGTGCGCACGGGCCAGCGTGATGAGACTAAAGTACCCGAGCTCCTTGACCACGACCGACGGCTCTTGCACGTGTGGCTCGCCCTTCAAGATCGCGACAATCTTCGAGTGGCGCACGAGTGCGTGGAGGTAGCCGAGCACTTTGCTCGTGTCCCAGATAAAGAGGTGCTCCTGGTACAGCGCCACCTCTGCGTCGCCTTTGGTCGCGACTTTGGCCCGCCACTGACTGTACGACTGCCACTGGTAGACAAACTCGCCGACAATGTCAAAGATCCACTGCGACGGCAGCGCCTCGAGCGCCAGCGATCCGTCCAGGAGCCCGTCAAACAGCGCCACGTACGTCGTCCAGGACGCGACTTTCATGGCCATGCCCGGCTGCAGCCGCGAGAACAAATGGCGGAAGTACAGCTGTTTGTACAGCAGCAAAAACGTCGCGTCGTCGTGCACGAGCGACTGGATCGCGCTCGGCTCGGGCCACGACGTCTGCTTAAAGTAGTTGTTCGTCAGGTTGGGGAACTCGCGGTCGTAGAGACGCGCCATATCGGCCACGTTGCCGCTGCGCAAGTGCGTGTGCATGTGCGAGAACCAGCTCTTGACGGTCTCGGGCAGCAGAAAGTCCGCGGGCTTTTCATCGCGGCGGTCGGCCATGGGGGAAAGCAGCGGCGGCTTCGTGGACGTCACGTTCGACTCGATGCGGCGGCGTCGGAAATGACTGGTGGTTTGGCTGGGGGACAGTAGCGGGTCCTGGGCCTGACATCCCTTCTGGTTGAAGCTTATAATTGTATGTGGGACCCGGTGACTTCGAGCCTGTGTGGAAGTACCTCGAGCTCTGCAGCGACTGGGTGGGATCTTTTTTTGTTCAGCTTTGGCGCGACGAGTTGCGAGGGGTATTTGTTTTGTTACGTACACCACACCATGCAAAACAGGAGTGATGGTCGGTTGCGTTTGCGTGTTGACACTTCCATTTCAATGTGCGCGCTGCTTGAGGCGCGTTCTGTATGGAGAGGCGGTGGGGGACTCGACGAGGCCACACCGACTCGTTTCGTTCATGTCCATCGAGTAATCGCTACGAGGGGATGCAAAAAGGGTATAGCGTGTGGTGTCTTTTGTAGACTTATGATGTCAAACACTGCAAAAAGCTATCAGCGTACAGCTCTTCTCGAAAGTGTGTGGATGTAACTGCATTCGGTGGAAACAGCGCCTTTTCCATACAGTTGCGGTGTCATAAGCATACAGAGTACACATAATCGAACGAACCATCAGGTCAATCTCATGTCTTGAACCGCCTTAGCTTAAAGTTGGCAAACACGTGCGGGTAGGCGACGAGAGAGCACTCCATGTCTCCTGCGCGGTACCTCGAAGCGCCACATCTGCGCTGGACTGTCATCCTCAGACATAGACACGGTGGGTCATTTACCCATAGAGGTGCACAATCGGATACACATCTGGACACTTCGCTGGTCACACACTGTATGATGGGGTTTACCTGCGGACAGCCAGCGTTTCGTCACCTGCGTGGAGGGAATTAAGGCGTCGACTTGCAGCAAAGAGTGAGTGTACAGCGACACGACGTACTCGGCAGAGTTGACGTTGAAGTCAAAGAACGTGCAGACGCGTCTTTTGCGTTTCCGTACAACCGCCCGGTACCACCACCTTATCACCACACCACCCAAGTAGCGCCTAGCATAAACAGGACTAGTCCGTCTTGCATTTATGCATCGTTGGCGCAAACCGTCCGGATCGTCTTTTTTCTCATGTGAGGTTGGCAACTATAGCCAAATGTAATCGGGATCGAGTCTTCATCACTACAGGTTTAAGATCTCGCTCCACGTTACGACAACTGCAAACATCTTTGTCGGCTACATGCTTGCCGCATGTCAGTCGAGGCGCAAAGTGTCATTAGCTGCTGCAAAACATGTTCACTACCATAACATTCACAATACCATTCACATTGATGGCAATGCCATTGTACGATTTTCCTATTTGCCTGAAAGTAGGATTAAGAGTGACAACGTTGCCACTATGATATAGGTTCCCTGATAGCTTCCGAATCAGCGGACTCAGTCAGACCAGTATCTTGCGGTGGGATGTTCAAGTATGCACCGGCTTGATAGGAAATTACATTACAATCACCGGCTGTCGTACTGGCACGGCAAACAGTGACGCTTTGCGCGGGTTGCCGCACACTAAACACGACGGCGAATACGGCGACAACAATCATTAACGAGGTAACGAAAGCGTTTGTTTATATTACAAAGCAGTTGACGGTCCGATACGGGCTTAACTATTTTCTTCCATGCTCACTTGACCAGTGATCTGTTTTCACTCATGTTTATCAAAAGGCATATGCGACACTCACGGAAGGCTGTAGCAAGGCAACAGGTTGTACAGCTCAAATGTACAAAGGAATGCCCTTAGTCCGTGTTAATCGTTTGTCTGAATTTTCCCGTGCCAGTTTGCGCAATAAGAGAGACCCAATTCACGGAATGATCATATCGTATACCATGCGAAGCGCCTTAATCCTCTGCAGCTGATAATGGTCGACGGGTGCACAACAATGCAAGTGACCGTTTTGTCTTTTCTTCACATCTGCAGCTGTCTGAATGTTTTGCAGGGCAACTACCGACCGTCTGGCATGAGTCTCGATGTCCATGTCACTGTACGAACTTTTGCGAGCAAAGGGCCTTTGATTCATTCGTCACTCGTTATTAATTTATTCTATCGGAAAAGGCCAAAAGTGGAGTTTGAGATGGCTTGTATCTTGCAAAAGGCTGCACGATAACATTTTGTGGAATATGATACAGACAATTTAGGCACACTGGCAGTGCATCGAGCATTTTTCTTGCGCTGCGATGCACGCATGTCTTTCTAAGTGCCGTGTGTACAAAGGTACAATCGTTTAAAAGAAAATGCTGCAGCTGTCTCTGACGCAAGTCTCAGGGAAGTGACGAACTGCATTCGTGTGTGACGAACTGCATTGTGATCTTCAGTCGCGTAATTTTTGAGCCTGATGCGCAGTGCTGCTCGCAGTGCAACTGGGCATCCGACATGCACTTTGAGTTGTAATCATTGAGTGATCAAAGACCGACTTGAAGGTCTTTTTTTGCTCTAGAATGTCAAAATCATCGCAATATCAATTCCCAATATGTTTATAATTAGACTTGCCAAGTAAAAGCCAACTAGGGTAAGCAAATCTTTCAACTCGCCGAAGCATACGCGTATCTGGCGAGGGTGAGTTGTTGTGCAGAGACAATGTCAAGTTAGAGATAGACGATCACTTCTAGACATATTGATCAGCCTAGTGAAGGTAGGCGTGGTGAAACTAGCGGTGCAAGCTTATCCATTGGAAGCCGATGAATGGACAACAGCATATGAGCTGTAGCAAGAAAGTGATGGTCATCCAATCCTGCTCGTCGTAGGATCTTATCTTACGTATATACAAGAGAACAAAGAAGTAGATGCACGTCTGAATTCGCAGAAAAATTGAAGGTGTAGAGATCGTAAAATAGGATTGATGAACTGATCCTACAATCACGAAGTCTTTCGTTGAGTGCGATCGAAACGTCTGTATGCCGATCGCCCTACCATCAATGTTGTCGAAGAGGTATTGCAGAATTCACAACAACAAGCTCGCCGGTCGTACAAGTGTGACAAGCTTGTATACGATGTTAGAGGAGAATTTCCGACAATGGTCATATGCGTGACAAAGCTCGAATCGAAGCAGATAAGATTATTTTGCAGTGAGACAGCTTGTAGGCGACAGATACAGGAAGGTTGTTATCCTCGAAAGCGATGTACAGTGGTGAATGAGAATGGTGGCGAAGGTCTGAGCATTACGTGCTCTACATACTATCACGCTGAACGAAGGCTCACAGTGCTGCACATCGGGTCAAGGCAGGTCGTCTGTGAGATCAGTAGCGTGCCGAAAGCTACAACTTGCTTTCTCAGATGGCAAGACCAGCAACAGTAGCACCAGATTTACGCAGCTTGGATATCGTAGCCGTAACTCGCATCACAGATGTAGCTCGGGTCTAGTGAGTGAGAAAGTGAGGTATATTTAGGTACGCTTACGACCTACTATATCCCGTCACCCGGCAACAAGGTTACCGGGGTGACTGCTACTTTATATACTAGGTAGCACTAGGTCTCGAACATCAGAACGCCTGCGCGCAGAATTCTGTCGCGAGATGATCCGGTTCCTCCGTGTCAGTAAGGGGCCCTGTATGACGTATTGTTCGGCCTGAGAGGTCTACAACCAATGATTGGCGACAGAATCAAGGAAGGTCGTGGCCTCCTGGACTATAACGGGGTTAGAAGAAGCGTGCGCTTGCAGCGAAGCTCCTGTGTCCATAGCGATATTCGCTAGTCGGTCCGCCATTTTTTTGTAGTTGCGATAATGATGTCACCAGCTGGAGATATGGATTTCGTTTGCGATGGCGCTTGCTTCGGTGAATAACTGCAGTACGTGATGCTTGCTTGGAGGATGTCTGCTTCGGAGTTGCGCAAGCACAAGGGCAATGTCCTTGATGACATGAAGGGGTAAGTAGTCACTGGCATTTGCTCGCCGAAGACCGTGGACAAGCCCCCAGTATTAAAGCAACATTGTTAGTAGTATCGGCAGCGGCATAGGCCACACTCGCTACCCACAAAACGCATGCGTCGTGCGTCGGAACGTGGAGTCGGACAATTAAAGATCCAGCTCCCGCCTTGACCTGGATTTCCGCGGACCTCCATCAAAACGAGGAGGTAGAGCACTCCTGGGCACCGTTCGATAGGGAGTACGTACAGCAAATAAGGTCCGTCGGAGCAGAGTAGGGTATCAGCCAAGGACGACCGTACCTGCGCAAACAGTTGCCCGTCCTCCTCCATGTCGGGCTGGTAGGTTGATCCACGAAACCTTTGAACCGACCGACGAAAATTAGTCTTGGCCCTAGCTGTGTGAACATCCTGTGATAGAGACGGGTCTTCCATGCGGCGGAGGCGCTCGACCCAGATGGCATGAAGTGTCGTTGAGACGACAAAACGCCACAGCTCTTGAGCTGCCGGGAAGACCGCAGCCTGAGTTTATAATAAATCTGCCCCTGTGTTCATAGATTGCTTGACAACAACCCAGGCGTCGGGCGGAATCCCCGGGAGGTCCGGTCCAAACACCCAGACATGAAAGTCATCCTCCCGGAAAGGAACAAGCCATCGCCACCTATCAAAGAGGTATTTCCAGTGTCGACGCGCGCTAGGGAATGTCCAAAAAAACATGTCTTGCCAGAGCTGGACCAGCATCCACACACTCAGGGACGGGGCACGACAGACGTTGCTTCGCCCAATTTCAGAGCGGGAAACTGTCACTCTCTAGCCGATATATCTTCTAAGCGTTGGTCGGAAAGAACGCACAAATTCGTCGAATGTTTCTTCACTTGATCAATCGTTAACCTTCCGATATCACGTGAAATTTCGCCTTTGCAACCCGTTCCTCGAGAAGTCTATTTCCTTCAATATAGCGCCGCCGGGAGATAAGCTGTTTAAGTTTGTTTCGATGTGACCGCCACCGTTGTCGATCGGCCCACAGGTGGACAACCCGCGTGAGCATCGGATGCGCGCCAAAGTGGACAGGAGTCCCACTGGATGAGGACGCGGCGATGACGCACGCCGTCATCGACGAGACGGGTTGCAACCCACATTCCAGACCCGAATCGAAATCAGGAGAGATGTATTTTCACTAGTGAGAAGCCAGTCATATTATTGGTGCAACTTCGTTGAGTACGAAATTAGAGACCCACTTTCCAGCGCTCGATAGACCAGAGACGAAAATTTTTGAAGAAGTGCGAGGCAGAAGGACCCGAAATGCCGTCTCTTCGCCATAGACTGGGTCGCCATGTCACGCGTGGGATAGAACAAAACAATGCCAGTCTGCAAAGTCGTCCAAGACATTACCTTGCCAAGGTAAGTCGAACCCAGGGCACACGCGGCTCCGTTCAAGGTGTAAGCCGTACCCCTTCGATCTCGCAGCCACGATGTATCCTTGAGTGTGGCGTGGACAATCCATCGGTGATCAAATAGCCCTGACGCCGCAACTTCAGCACGCGTCACGGCGCGCAGTCGATCATCAAGCACCCGCCGAACATCAACGGTGACACTGCCGTCGTCATTGTAGGCTACTGCAGCTCTCGATGTAAAAGAGACGGCACGTCTGCCAGACTTCCCTGACCGCGCTTTGGCGAGCGTGCCTACCCGCAGAAATTTCAACAATTTTGGACCCGGTTTGCCATAGAGTCGCTTGATATCGAGGATGCTTTTCTTCAGTCCAACAAGGCGTGATGTAATCCGGACCTGACCCTCTCGATCCATACAAGTATTCACCAAGTAGTAAGTCCCTCGAAGACAGAATAGCTGACTAATGTCCAATTGCTGTAGCTGACATAGTCATCAATTCCGTCCGAATACAAGGCACCGCTAGCCCCCCTGACAAATTGGTAAAGAAGCTATCTCAGGACGGACCCACGGTCGGGGCCGCTTGCTATCACGGAAGCCCCAGACAAAGTCAATAATCAAGCTGTGCAGCCTGGAAACCACGGCGGGAGGAGGCCAACAGTGCCGTGCTAAAAACGTGGGTTTGGGTACAGCAATAGCACTGGCGATCTGAGCCCGTTGTTCCACCGTGTGCGTCTTCTCACGGGCTAATACAAGTCGGCTCCAGGGAGATCGGATGCACTTATTCCAGTTATCGGCTACCGCGACCTGTTGTCTCACCAGAACACCAAGATACCGGCAAGCTTCGCCGGGGAATGACCCACCGAGGTAACATCAGCGACATGAACGCTGACGACTGCCGAACCCGAAAGACGTCGCGTTGCGTTCGAAGCATCAAGAGTTACGAACGTTTGCAAAGAACATGCGTTGATAGTGTAGCGCTCCGGCGCTGCGTGCAATTTCCGACTGTGTATATCCTGACCTCGAGCGTATCGTCAATGAGTACATAAACATCCGATCCAACCACCACCGAGAGCAGCAAAATTGGTGTCACTCAAGCGCTCTTCTAGGAACTACAATGTGTACGACCGCAACACGAGCTGAGCATGTGACCCACAACGATCCACTCGACGCAAAATTGCACGACCTGTACGTATGTGTACGACAGCGCGTCAAGCTTACTCGCGAAAGTGGGCACAATCCAGAACTAGCTTTCTGTACCGACCACGAAATACGCCGGCACATATTAGTAGATGAGTTGCGAAATCTGCAACAAATATCGGCAGTCGTCGCAATCGCTGCACGTGATAAAGCTCGGAAGCACAGACTGTTTCTCTTTTCGCCAATTGTAAGTCAATACGCAGTGCACATGTATAGATCAAAGCATTTGGCGATCATTGCACATTGTGCGAGAAAGACTAGAAACGAGACATCTCTAAGCAGAAAGTCCCACTAATAGCGGTAGCTGCGGGCCGATGTTCACGTATCGCGATGGCCTTGCGCTGACGAAAAAAATGTCTTAGTCCCAGTGCGTTGTTCGGCTCGACTTCGGAAAAGTCGGGACTTCCGTTGAAGAGCGCCGCATTGCGCTCGGTCCACCGATGCTATAGGCAGAGGAGCTCAAGAAGGACGAGATTCGTTGAGATTATGTTTCGGCGGCTGTAGTATCATCGGGAACACAATAGTGCAATTTCCAGCATTATCGGCGTTGCATCGGCCGAGTTAGCAAATGGCGCAGGGGCGATAGTAGTTGGGCACGGCAATGCATGTCGCGCTTTCGCCAGTCCAGGTCGGAGTAAGCGACTGCAGTACGCCTGGGCGGTCGGGCAGTTCCTGTAAAGACTTGAAAAAGTAAATGCAGTCGAGCACCGACACTTCACACAGCAACAGACGCCGCTGTGCCTGGATTAACAGCAGAAAATGCCCACGAACTCGTGAAGACGATGTGCGGGAAGAGGAAGATATTTGCCGACATTTTGCGGCCATCGAACAACGAGACGCTGCTGCACACAATCTGCTCGCTTTTGCTGTCGCCGATTTCGATGTATGGGTTGTGACTCACTCATAGCTGCAAAACGACGTAACGGTTTGCCGCTTTTTTCGACAAAAGTACACATCTGCTTACCAGGTTTCCAACTTGACATGGGCAGTTTGAAGCCAATTGCATGGCGCTAACAGCAATTTGGAAGCCAACACATGCGATGTCGACCAAGAGAAAGGATCTCGAGCAATTGTTTGGACGACGCAGACGCTGCACAGCACGGAAACGGATTCGTACTCTGTTGCTCGCTGGAACGCATCGACGGAGCTGCGATCAACTTGTTCCGACGATCTAAATTGCGTACAAGTGTTTGTGATATTACTGGATAGACGGACACATTGGACTGCCAACTAATGCGTGTCAAACAGTCCGCTAGCTAAGGCTGTGTGCAGCTGGTGCAGCACGCTCGCTGCGGTAGGTCGATCTTGTGGGTGGACAGACACGCAGGCAAGACCCAATTGCTTGATAGCCGCTGGGGTTGCCGCAGAGAACTCAATTTGAAGTCGCCCTGCCGCCACAAGCTGCAGAATGGCTGGGTCAGGCATCGACTGTTCGGAGTTGCTGCGATCCTTGACATTGGCGTACGGCAGCACGTGCTGATCGAGTTCAGCCAGCACCACACCGAACGAGAACATGTCGACTTTGTCGTCGTACTGTTCCCCCATCATAACTTCCGGCGCCATCCACCGGGACGAGCCGACACCTCCCGTCATGCCAAAGTCAGACTGCTCGCGAGAAACGCCAAAGTCGGTGAGCTTCGCGTCCAACTTCGACGTCAGCAAAATGTTCCTCGACTTGAGGTCCCGGTGGAGCACGGGCGGCGACAACGAGTGGAGATACGTTAGAGCATGAGCGACGTGGAGAGCAATCTTGACCTTGTTGCGGTCAAAGCCAACGGGGCTCCTGCGATCTTCGCACCCTTCGAGCAGCGTCCGCAAGTCGCCGCCTTTCATGTACTCGGACAGCATGCAGAGATCCGTGAGCGAGTCCCACGCGACACCGACGAACTTTACTATGCGCTCGTGGTTCAACATGGCCATCAACTTGGACTCGTCCAGGAACGCGTTCACGTGGCTGATGCTCTTGCGCATCTCGGGCAGCAACATCTTGACCGCGACAATCTCCTCGTTGTACAGCCCCTTGTACACTTCGCCATACCCTCCTCGACTGATCAGGTCCTGCACGATAACTTTATCGCGGGACACACGCGCAGTGACGATGATCTCGTCGCTCCATAACCCACTTCCTCGACTCGAGCTGTGTCGCGTATGTCTGCTACTTGTCACACGTTCCTCTGACCAGGCGGATTCCGAGCCCAGCACGGTGGTGTCCAGAGCTCGTTTGGGTGTCGGGCAGCCGCTATACCGCAAAGCAAGAACTGCCATTTCATCTCCAGTGTGGTCGCTGTCGTTGTTGCAGCGCGGACGGACAAACCAAATCGTTGCGAGCGCGATCAGGGCGACACACGCGAGTGTTCCAGCTACGATAGCAGCAACAGTACCCCACGTGATCCCAGTTTCCAAGCCCTCTCGTCTCAGTTGGCTTCGGTCGAACCGACTGGACGCGAGTTCCGTGTAAAACCTGTAGCGCTCTTGAACGCAGTCGCTGCGGCCGATCTCCTCCCGGTTCACGTGGAACTCCAAGAGAGGCTCACTGCCGCACTCGCTGTCTTCATACAGCAGCACGTTCGCTGTGCCATTGTCAAAGAGACTGACAATGTCGGACGTGTCTGCGACGGCCGACGACTTGGCACAAGTCCCTGACGCCGGATAGACCGTTGTCTGGACCAATTGCTGGCAGCCGACCCGAGCGTACTCTTCGACCACGACGTAGCTGAGCTCTCTGAAGCGCTCTTCGGCATACGCGAACCGGTCAGTGACGTTGCAGGACGACGCCACGAAGAGCGTGTCGTTTCCTGGACCGGGTGCTGTACAGGCCCCAGCAGCGCAAGAGTCGGCCTCCATCGTCATTTTGACCAAGTTGGGCGTTCCAGCGCAGTGGCTTCCCGAGAAGAGCTCCATCGCCGACCAAGTGGTTGCAAGCGTCGCCGTCGCGAGCAGAGGAGCCACGACAAGTGCTGCTTGACGACACCATTTCTGACCGAGCAACATGACGAATGGCCCGTGCGTGAGCGTATCGGGTGATCGTGAACTGAGTGTTCAGTGTGACTGTCCACACTGTCCGGTTGCGGTCGCAGCGATTGGGAGATCGATGGATCCCCATCGTGAGCTCAATCCTCGCGACCGCCGCGTCCACCGGCCGTGACAAGCGAAAGAGCCGACACCCACTCACAGAGTGGCGTTCGCTCTCCCGACGCGGACAACAGCTGCGTGAACGTCGACGCTCAGTTTAACAAAGAGCCCATACACCGAAGTCTGCTATCGGTGCATATACGAACTCGTGGACGGCGACCGCTGATACTTCTGCGGTGAGTGACTGGGAACCCAAAGCCATGCGGCGCTTCTTCATCGATTGTTGTTGCGTCGTAAGTTGTTCCCTCAACTTGGCTTTGCCACTCTTTGCAGAGCGCTCGTCGTGTTCTTCTCCCGGTGCCGCAATCAACACACACACACACCATCGGAACTTAAATTTGACGCCAACGAGCGTTGGTATGCTCACGGCTGAACCAGCGATCGACTGATGCCCTTAAAGTCAGCCTCAACAACGACAACAGACAAAGACTCGAGACACGTAACTCACTTTGGTCTGTATCGGCAGTTGTGACATCGTACCGGTTCCCATCCCATTTGCCCGAGTGATGGAAACTCTCGTCCAAGACCTGTTTGCGTTTCTTCTGTACCGGTCGTCTCGTGTTGTCAATTGGTCATTTGCAGTGCGAAAGACTCGTGTAAGAGTTGCGTTCCATCGCCTGCAAACGGTTCTGCGCAAAGATACGTAGCACGAAACAACGTCCGAATGCTCATATATGACTACGGGCTGCGTGACGACGACTGTAAAGAGACCGATGCGGTGCTTGGCGGATAGAGGATCCGATCGGCTGGTGAACGACACTTCATGACGGTCTATTATCACGTTGTTATGCCCAACATTGCTGGAAAGCTGTCGAACTGGGAAACAAGCGCCGGATACGTGGCGTGTATCGTGGCCGATCTTTGTAGAAGAAGCCAAGGGTCCTGGAGGAATCCGACGTGAGCAACAAGTACGTTAGTGACTCACTCGCACGACTGTGTCGACACATCGATGTCGACGTTAAGATCGGACGTATCTTGCGCTCCCACGGACGTTGGACGCTTTGCAATGCCGTGGCTTCCACTCCATTGAACACATCATTAATCCACTCAGTCCAGACGTGAGCTGGACATCAGGTGCACGTTCGGGTAGGAACGCGTGTCAGCCCTTTACGTCTGCTATTACGTTTTCTTTGGATCGTTGATGCAGTCTACGCCTCTGACGTGGCGATATGTTAAGAGCTTGGCGATACGCACGTCCGAGAAAGCGACGAATACCCATCAGACGTGCTTCTTTACTCCTGCCTAGTGACGGACTAACGGGTATGTCTTGACGCTCTCGTGCATTATAGCAGTTGAACGATGTCGAGTCGGAAGTGCATGAGACTCTAGCACGCAGGTGTGTGATACAATATCATTGTCGCCAGTCAAGCAGTCCGCATGATTGATTCTAAGTTGCGTTGTAGCGATTTTGAAGCATGTCGAAACTTGGCACTTCCTTAGAAAAGGATTCACACATGTCCAAAGTTTAGGCGCACGCGGATATGCTAAGGGACCGACAGTTTTATCACTTAGTCCAAACTACGGCGCTAGGCACCGACAATCTTGCTGGACCGTATGAGCGCTCGGGCCTACTTTGTCTGTTTACACAGCGCCTCCGTGTCGTCATGACTATGAATGTGTCTACTCCTTATTCCACTCACAGCTACGCATGCTGGGGGGTAGCTTTCCTTGCAGACATCTCGAGTGGCCGCTACGTACTCGATCTGGTACGAAGTCACTGGCAGCGCGATGTGCATACTTGTCATATCGATTGCTCCTGAGTCGAGCTCAAAAGCACAAGCATGAAGTCGCATCGACTGCGGTGTGCGCGTTGGGTCGATCAGGTTGGGTTGATCATACGTGAATCGATAGCAACGGACTATCACGATATATGCTACATACTCTACTTGACGACAGTCAAAAGGCGTGAGTTTGCTAAGGGCGGACACTGAGAGCACTTATCTCCCTACCTCCCGCATGCGAAGCGGCGCTATACCATTTCATTTTATCGCATGGCTACTATTGATTTGGATGTTACGATCCGTCACCGCACAGATGCATTACAAGAGACTGTGGCGCGCGGTGGACTAGTCCCTACGTTCTGGTACGGGTAATAATAATGCTATGAAAAATAATACAACGCCGGCACAATTGGTAGCGCACTCGACAAGAGGACTCGTCGAGAGACCACTGTCCATGGCATAGCATTTGCCTAACGATCATCCCCAAAGTGTGTCATACACAATATAACATAAACTCATCGTGGATGATGTAAAGCAGCATGCCTAGGCATAAAGGCGACGATTTTGCTGGACGAGGATGATCACGCACAAACTCATATATTGATGCAAGCGGAAAGGATGGCGCTCGATATCTGTAGCGTAGCCAGGGCTCATTATAAACTACAACATCGTTGGACGACAATCTCTTTAGCCGTCTCATTATCGAAGAACGAAGAGCGCCTGGTGTTGTCGTGTAATGACGTCGGGCCTTTATTCGCAGCGTAAAGAAGGAAATACAACAGCAGTTGTGAGTGACAAGTCAACTAGAGTTGACCCTATTGTTAATGTTCTAGTGAGTCCAGCCAAAATTTTACCGAGAATGACTCGCGGCTGGCGGTTCGATGATGCTGAATGTACGTCGTGGAATTTGCCACAAGTCTGATTACATGCCACGAAGCAAATGTGAAGGGCCACATATGCACAAAACGGACGTTTAGTACCATGTACCGCTCATTGCGCGTATGTGCTTTACCGACAATGTGGCCATATATATAACATTTTATTAAAAAAAATGCGCTTTGGCCCAATAATCAAGTTTGCATATATTTCAAATACACTGATAATTGCAGTGACGAAAAGTATCTGCTTAGCGTCACTCGCGACAATTCCTATGCCGATCGTAACATCAACACAATAGTTTACGGTAATGTATGGATAACTAATCGAGTTTTGTAGAGAAAGACACCTAGGGGATCCGTCAATACCATTATGCGTTTCATCGGGCTAAGACATGTAACAAATGTCACTGTCACCTGGCAATGACAGTGATAATGAAGCTTGCATGGCAAATTAAGATAACATCCACGACCGTCCGGCCGCGTTCATTTGGCTAGAGATTGTAAGGAAAGCTGTGATTATATCATTTCGATTGCGTTTGAATCAATATTGATTGTACTACAACTTCACGACGTCCATACAAATTATATACTAAAGCAAGCGATCTGGGTCCATCGCATCAGGTCGGAGACCGCAGGTGTGGAAATCGCGCGAATCGAGATCCATCTACGTAGATCTTGATGGGGGTGATTTTTTTTCGATAGAACACGCACAATGCATGGAAATGGTGTCGCTTTGCGCCGACACAAGCTAAGTTCAAATTTAAAGTATCAAAAAAAGGAATTTCATTTCAAGCCGAGCTTCAAAAAGAGTCAAGCCTGGTATATAGCTTTCGCGCATAATTATCCTATTTTATTTAGAAATGCTTTACCTCTGGAGATACAGGAAAGAATTTCTCATCAACAACGAATGCGAATATGAAATGCTTGCCCACATAAATGTAATTAATGAGACATCGTACATCGGCAAGCGGACATAATAACAACGAAAATAACACGACTCAGAGGATCGCAAGATGGCCCGCTTGAAGAGACGATCTAAGTGGAAGCCTAATATCGACCAATAAATAGAGTTGACCACAAGGATGTCGCGGAAACACGGTAAGAGCGCCCAAATACTGAGTATGATCGTAAAATATTTCATGCAATCCCTCCTCCCGATATTCTTTCACATCATTACAATTTTCTTTGACTTGATTCAATCGAGATGAAAGTAAAATGCCTTACCGACGATTGAATAGGATGAGAAGGAAAATCCCGCACACGCTACTGGAGTACCCCTTCGTTTGTTAGTCGTTTATGTAACAGTCGCGCTCGCATCATAAAGTTGGATGGCTACCACGATGCATGTAGCGTCGGATATGAATTAAAATAAACACATTTCTGTCTCATATTGAGTACAAGCTTGAGCAGGAAGAACATAAATTTTATAGAACTGTATATATACAAACATGTGGCTATCCTTAAGCTTTTTTTAGAAATATTATTGAATATCTTGTTACGAATGGAGATAATTTTACAAAAATCTGCTGGAGTGATAGTCTTGATGAAGTATTTGGACAATTGGAGAAGACTAGTCAGGTGTCGGACAACGTATATTAACATATAGCTAAATTTCGTACAACGTATAAGTATGGACAAACCACTGTCATGATGGTAGTTATCGACGCTTTCTCGACACATATTGATAACGCACGAAGTTTTGATCATTTGACCTGCCTGTCATAAATTAGTACTGATTTTTGATAGTAAACATACATTTTAGTGCATTCAATATATGTACCAAAGATCTCACTTTATTGTATAACACAGGTTGATGACTTATGCTGATGCTTTAAAGTCTTTATTTATATATTCATAATCAATTTTACATGCAGCTTTAGAAATTTTTGAAGATTCTTTGCAAGCCTTCTAGATGATGCAGCCAAATGCCTATATATTTGGTGCTAAATATAAATTTCATGGGTTACAAAGCTTATTTTATCGACTTTCATTAAGGTTTACGATTAAAATGTAAACCGTTTGAGGACACCAACAATCATCACAACTAATATAAGTGTAGATATTAAACAATGGAGCCTTTAAAATTGCAAAATACCATCACAAGATACCGTAATATTTTTTTGATTTGTGCAAAGCTTGCGTGCCAGAATGATGTGGTAGAGATGGCGTCGCAGATATCGATGAAATCTGATACAATTTTATTGCTCGAATATAGACCAATATATTATCAAAACAGATGTCGCTCCTCTGTGTTGACAGT